ATTAATTAGTTACTTTACAGTATCTTTACAGGCGTAGTAGTTATTATTGGACGAATCAGATTACAACATTATCTGCGTAAATTAAACAAGGATCTTATTTGAATTTATATCTACTGCTATTACGTATATTTGATATTTACCTATTTTGTTTTATGACTTAACAGTTATTACGATGGTGAATCTACTTACTGTTATTTATTTTAGAAACATCGAGAGTGCCTTACGATAATCTAGTACTGTTAATTTATAGTAATAAATAATAATGAATAACTTGCCTAATTAAATTAGGCGATAATTCCGCTATGAGTAAAAGTTTTGAAAATAGTGATGTATATGGTAGAGCCATGCTGCAGCTATATTATGGTTGTAGCACGAATGGGTCGGCTCGAAAGGGGAAGGACCACGCTCTCACAGAAAACCAGCGTAAAATAGCAGCTTAACGCTGCTGTGTTTCGTATGGTGAGTGTAGAGAACCGGAGACCCTTTTTACTGGCAAAGAGGCAGTCCATCTTAGTCCTCACGGGTGACAACGCATCTGCATCTTGAGTCTTTATTGAGGATAGATGTAGATGTCTATGGGTCACAGTAACCACTTACTATCAGATGGACTGGTTGCTCGTTTGTCACCCGATCCTATATAAAAAAAAAACATATGTACTCATTCGCATATAATGCAGTATTAACTATTTTAATCTTAAAATAAACTTATTAGTTTAATTAAGTGGCAATAAAATACACGATAGCAAATAGCATATTACGCAAAAATTTAGCGCCGCCGTCATAGACCTCTTACCGTCTTCTACAATATCTCCCGCGGGAAAAGATTCCGACACTACTGCGCTTAAAGCTTGCATCGTGATGACAGCGTAATAAGCTTATACAGACACGTTAAATTCGAATCGATTTTATTTATTTCTTAACCGAGTTTAAAAGAACGAGGGGGCTCCGTATGTTTTTTTATGCATGTTCGCCTTTCTTTTGTTCTTTTTTAATTAAATAAGCTCTACTTCAGGCGTGGAAAATGAAGAAAAAATTCTACCATTTAGGGTCAAAACATAGGGGATAAGGATTTTTATATTAGAACTTGTAATATTCCTTATAAAAAATTTAGAGATAATACACACTGACTTTAAAACTGAAGAAAAAATTCCTCATTACAGTGTTTTCCAGGCTGAATTTCGGTCACGGCGGCCTTTCTCAAAGGAGACTAGCCATCTTATAGCTTATAGCGTCCAAATGTATGCGCAAGCACAGGTGCACTCTCTATTGCCTCACTCTCATAGTTCAATACGATTATAATCCGACACGACCGGAAAGGGACTCGAACCCAGGACCTCATGATCAGCAACCACGTTTACAACCACTAAATCAACAAGGCGTTCCACATTATATATAGTAGATAACCACATCAGTCTTCGATCACGTTTACGACTCTCTTCACCTTAAATGAACTAATGATCTTTTTATGCGAAGGCTATAACTTAATATTTTCCTACTATCGTGAAAGTTGTAGATATATTTATGTACATAAATAAATAAAAATGTATTTACTTTTATACACACATGTCTGGGCCATTTTAAAGTGTTAAGCTATTTTTTGGGATGCCGCCAAAACACCAAAACACGAACTGTGCTCATTCGCTTCATTACAATATTATCGTTATTTCCTGATACCATACGTGGTAGAGCCATGCTGCAGCTATATTAGTATAGTTGTAGCACGAATGGGTCGGCTCGACCGGGGAAGGAACACGCTCTCACAGAATACCAGCGTCAAATGGCAGCTAAACGCTGCTGTGTTTTGTATGGTGAGTTTAGAGAACCGGAGATCTTTCTTACTGGAAACGAGGCATTCCATCTTAGTCCTCACGACTCACTGACAACGCATCTGTATTTTGATTCGTAAATAGATATCTATGGGCCACAGCAATAATTTACGATCAGGTGGACTGTGTGCTCGTGTGTCACCCTTATCCTATAAGAAACTATTTGTCCTTACAGACAACAGCAGGACTAAGGAGAAACAGAAAACGGTAGCAGAGCTCCTGCTAAACTGGTCACGTACTAACCGGCTGTGCAAGTCGTTTCGACGTCTCTACATCAGCGATTCGGTTACAATCTATCCGCTCATTTATGGTCTCGATATTACAATGACTTAACTATTCCAATAGTACTGAAATTTAGACAAAGTCGTCTTTTATGCATACTTTTGTTTATTATCTCGGAACATGAATGGGTACATATTCTATATTTATTCTATATTATATATATAATACTTAGTATAATAACTTTTCAATTCTAATGTGTTTGACGAGTGACAGGACAGGACTACTTTTCGCCCAGGAGCCCACCTGAGTAGGTACCACTCTCACACCTATATCTGCCACCAACTACCAGTCCTGTCCGATCTGACAGGTATAGAGGGTAATTGCAGACTGTGAGGCATTTTTTATAGTATAAGGGTGACAAACGAGCACACAGTCTACCTGATGGTAAGTGGTTACTGTAGCCCATAGATATCTGCATTTATCTATACATATTATATATAAATAAAATTGAAGTGTCTGTTTGTAATGTAAAAATTACAGCATTTTACTAAATGTATATGAAAGTAAATACAGTACTTATAACTAAAATATATTTTTTTAAATTTTTGTCTGTCTTGTCTGTTTGTTTGTTCCGGCTAATCTCCAAAATGGCTGGACCGATTCTGAGGTGATTTTCACTGGCAGATAGTTGATACCATAAGGAGTAACTTAGGCAACTATTATTTTAGAAAAAGAATTAGGGTTCCGCGCAAAAAAATATAAACACTAACACGCGAGCGAAGTCGCGGGGAACAGCTAGTCCTCAATAAAGAATCAAAATGCAGATGCGTCGTCACCCGTTAGAACTAAGATGGGATGCCTCTTTTCTAGTAAAATGAGTCTCCGGTTCTCTACACTCCCCATACGAAACACAGCAGTGTTAAGCTGCCATTTTACGCTGGTATGCTGTGAGAGCGTGGTCCTTCCCCGGTCGAGCCGACCCATCGTGCTACAACTATACTACTAATATAGCTGCGGCATGGCTCTACCACGTAAAAACATATTATTTTTAATTTTTAATTACGTGAGCATTCAATAATTATTCCTGTAATTTATAATTCCCGTGTAATGTAAAGCAATATGCCGGCACAATTAATAAACAGAAAAGATATGAAAATAATTCATACTGATAAATGTCCGAACAAATTATTATTAAAAATTACGACGGCTCCATGGCGCAGTGGCTTAGCAATGAGTTGCAGCGCTAAAGGCCGCGGGTGCGAATCCTGCACGGAACAAGTATTTGTATAGCCTACAAATAATTGCTCCGTGTTTGGATGTTTGTGAAATTTATGTATGTTAACTGCCCTCACGATACAGGAGAAAATCTCAGTGTGGGATAGCGTTTTATTAAAAAAAAATCTACTAAACTATTTTGTCACACATATGCCGCTAGTTTTGGGAGATCTTGGGATCCAACTTAGCTAGGCGGTTTTCGGGAGATTACGACATATCTTCGAGTCACATTACCTCAAAACTTGATAGAAGAGAGTACAACCAGTGTGTTGCCAGTGTCCAAGACCACAGTTTTTCACTGTTAGCTGTACGGTAACTAAAGATCGCTCAGCGAGTCATAAACAGGGCTATGCTCATTTTCTCTGTGTGATATACTTCGTGATATCCACAGTAAAATCAGAGTAATCGACATAGTCCATCAGATGAGTGAGCTAAGCTAGCAATGGGCCGGCCAAGCAGCTTGATGAACTGACAACCAATAGAGAAATGTTCTCGAGTGACAGTCTTGTGCCTGTAAATACAGTGTAGGGCGGTCCTTTACTAGATAGAGTAACGTAGTAAGAGATGCAGGTGGCGCAGAGGTGTACTTTTTGGTATTCTTAGTGGAAGATCTATTTTCAGAGGTGTACTTGTAATGGGGTGTAATGATGAATCAATAAAATATTTAAAAAAAAACTACTTTCCGGAAGGTACTTGGTTTGGTTTCAGCACTGATTTTTGCCTATTGAAGAAAACTTTGAGGCTTATACTAAATTTGTGGACGTGTTACTTAAACAAAAACAATACCGTAAACGCAAAATTTAAAATTTTTTTCTTCTTTTGTTTTTAAAAAACCGTTACCCTCACACTAGGATTTACTCCTGTATCGTGGAGGCAGTTTACAAACATAAATTGCAAAAGGACAAACATCGAAACCCGGAACAATTATTTGTTGGCAATACAAATATTTGTTCCGTGCGGGATTGGAACCCGCGGCCCCCAGCGCTGGAACTCATTGCTAAGGCACTATGCCAAGGAGCCGTTTAAATAAAGTATATAAGTATATATAACATCAATATAGATATTTTTGTAATATTACATTATATGTTTAAATACTAAAGGGTCTATAGAATACCAGGCAAAAAGTCGCTATGCAAGCTTACCCACCCAAAACGTGTTCCTATCAGCAACGTTTTAAAATAAATCGCATCTTTTAATGTTCTTAGCATATTCTTTTAAAAGGCGACGTGGCTCTCAGCGTATTAAAACGCGTTCTTTAACACCCCTTACATGAATAATTTGATGTTTCCCGAATTTATCCTTCACTGTTATCTGTAAGACACGAGTTTTAAATTTGCAAAGTCATTCTTTTCCCTTTATTGAGGATAATACATCTTAGGCGGGATGCGATTCTGATTAATGCCTTTAAGTGGAGTCAACGCAACTTTGTCAAAGATAACGGCGAAAAATAAAGGGACGTGACTTTGCTGATTCTTTCTTAACTGCAACAAGCAATAGGAATAGCGAAATTTTTGTTAGCGTTTAAAAAGTTTTCATTATTTGAACGATTACTCTGCGTGCATCTACTGGCTGATGTTACACCTACTTAAAACAATTTCATATTCTTCTTTTAAACCCGTTTGTCACGAGAGTTAATGGCAAACGTCATATCGTTATTTCTGTAAATAATCTTAAAATATGAAAATTTACCTTTTATTTGCACTCTGTTCCTGTAAGTTCTTTTCGTTGTTTTTATAAATGTTAGAATTATTAATCTCAATATATAGTTTTCACGTTTTCACAATTATTTTTCAGTTATCTGTTTAACGGGAGCTGTTGCTGACCCTGACAATGAAGTCAAAAGAGGAGTCTTTCCCTTTATGGTAAGAGAATTATAATTGTCAAATAATTTTATGGAGATTGTAGTAAGTTTCCGATATTTTGAGATTCTCTGAATTTAAATGATAAAAATTAATAATCAAAAAATATGTAATTTATACAAATAAATAAAATTGAAGTGTATGTTTGTAATGTCAAAATTACAGCTTTTTACTAAATCCATATGAAAGTATATACGGTACTTATAAAAAAACTAGAATTTTTTAAGTTTATTTCTGTCTGTCTGTTTGTTCCGGCTAATCTCCGAAACGGCTGGACCGATTTTGACGGAACTTTCACTCGCAGATAGCTGATGTCATAAGAAGTAACTTAAGCTACTTTTATTTTAGAAAAGAATTAGAGTTCCGCGCACCAAAAAAATTAAAACTCCTTTAACAGACAACCAGCATTCTATAGCAAATAAAGTTGCATCGTATGTGTTATGGTAAATAAACTGCTATAAAAAACATGCGTGAGTATTGTGGAACACTCGGTTGGATCGAAGTTCCTTTCGTAGTATGGATAAACGTATTATATTATTGATTAACAAATACAAATAAATGAATTACTAGCGTCATTTAAAATAATATTTCTTTCATGGCAAGATAAGAAAAACTGCGAGGGATATGGATATTTTTCCATCTCGCTCGCACTATAGAAAGGTCGTGATGGGAAAACCTTACACTTTTTCTCGCCTAGCCCCCTCCCCCCATCCGTCGAATTCGTACCGTACGATAAGGAACTTCGTTTCATAAAATCGTAACCATTAATCAATTTGTTATGGCGATGAGTTCTTTCATCTTACTCTCTGATTGACAATGCACACACACATATATGTCATCCAAGATCATAACAACGTTTGTCATCAGGGTGTAACTCCTTTTTCAAAATGCCAAACTAATACGTTTTTACTGTATATCCCTTAAGAACTCCTTATGCCGTTTTCATTCAGGGGCTAAGCTTTTATTTGAGAGTACGCGAACACGGGTTTGATCCTGTCAGCACTAATCAATTTGTAATTGCAATTTTAAGTGCATTTAACACGTTCAGAGCGAAGGTTCTGAGGAAAACATGATGAAGTCACCTGCACGTCTGGAAAATTAAAAAATATTTTAGATATTTCAACTCCGACAACCAGAGTAACCGACTTAGCCCAAAAGTTTAGTAAACTGAAGTGGCAATGAGCCGGCCATAGAACCGACAACCGATGGTTCTCGAGTGGCAGCCTCGTGCCGGCGTAGCGACGACGATTTTACTGGAAGCGAAGCATTCCACCTTAGTCCTCAGGAGTGACAGCGCATCTGCATTTTGATTCGTAATCAAGGATAGATGTAGATGTCTATGGACCACAGCAACCACTTATCAGGTGGACTGTCTGCTCGTTTGTCACCCTTATCCAATAAAAAATGCCTTTCTAAGTGTGTCGGACGCATACTGCCATTAATTTCATGAAAGCTGGTCTATATGACGCTGGTTATAACATAACCCAGGTTTTTACGGATTTTATCGCGTATATTAACTTATTTTATATTCTCGCCGTTTCGAGCACTTTTCGTTTTGTTCCGATCTACCCAAAATATTAGTAACTAGCTGTTCCTCGCGACTTCGCCCGCGTGTTATTTGGGATTTTAATTTTTTTGCGCGGAACCCTAATTCTTTTTTTTAAATAAAAGTAGCCTATGTTACTTCTTATGACATCAGCTATCTGCCAGTGAAAGTCCCGTCGAAATCGGTCCAGCCGTTTCAGAGATTAGCCGGAACAAATAGACAGACAGACAGACAAAAATTTTAAAAATTGTGTTTTTGTTATAAGTACCGTATATACTTTCATATGCATTTATTAAACAGCTGGTATTTTGACATTACAAACAGACACTTCAATTTTATTTATTTGTATAGATTTAATCTAGAGGTAGCCGTGGCTATGACATTGAATGTCAAACACCTTAGTCCTCCCCATGGTGGGTGCTGTAAAGTGCTCGAAACGTCGGGAATATAAAATAAGTTAATATACGCGATAAAATCCGTAGAAACTAGTTTTATTTAAATGTGTAGTGTTCGTGTAAATATAAGAAATCATTATAACCCCGGTTGTTAATGAAGGGTGGACCATTGCCCTCGCATTCGTACTGTAGCTTTCTGACTCTAGTCTTTGAGATTCGAGTTTGACATTTTGAATGTATTTTCTGCAATTAGTCGATCGCAAAAGCCTCGTGTACCAGTCAGTAGCGTGCAGTTAAGATTGGCAATTAGAGAAAATTTGACATTTTCTTATCTTCTATTACACCTTATTGATGTTTTTTTAAGAATTTAGTAAAAATTAGCGGAGAGTTTCCAAGGAAAGCAACCCGCCGGTACCAATTAAATTGTTTTTTGTTTAAGCAATAATAATAAATGCAATTTTAAGTTCTGATTTACCATCGCGGGAAAAACTGCATGTCTGAGAAATACGAAGAAAACTTACTTTGAATACATGTGAATTTCGCCAACACGCATTGGGGCAGCGCGGCGGACATTTACTTTTTTTTATAGGATAAGGGTGACAAATGAGCACACAGTCCACCTGATGGTAAGTGGTTGCTGTGGCCCATAGATATCTACATTTATCCTCGATTATGAATCAAAATGCAGATGCGTTGTCACTCGTGAGGAGTAAGATGGAATGCCTCGTTTCCAGTAAACAGGGTCTCCAGTTCTCTACACTCACCATACGAAACACAGCAGCATTAAGCTGATATTTTACGCTGGTATTCTGTGAGAGCGTGGTCCTTCCCCGGTCGAGCCGACCCATTCGTGTTACATACTATACCAGAAATATAGCTGCAGCATGGCTCTACCACGTATAGATATATGCCCTAAAATCCTCTCAGAAAGGAGATCAGAAAGGAGTCTCACTGCTGGGCACGTATATGGGCTGTAACTTTACTTTTATATAAGAACACGCATACATGCATGCGCAAGTATGTATTTTGTATATTGAAGCTTTTTTCTAGTTAGCGAATAATCCAAGTTTGTGTGAATAACGCCACCTATTTGTCTGCTTAGTTAACACTTAGTCCCTCTGGATTTCTTGTTGCTACCTCCAAGGACAAAGAGTTTTCTTGAACAGTGATAAAGTCATAAATGACTTTCAATAATTGTTCTTATAATATAGATGTTACAGCCTATATACATACACACAGGCCACCTCTCATTTCTGAGAGGTAAGGTAAGAAGTTCTTGTAACGTAAATTGAATAAAAATTATTGTATTCTATCCCAACAAGTCAAAAACACATACATTTTCTTCAATGCTTAGCTTCTACTACGTGTGTTTGTGTGTTTAAAAAAGCGTGTCGCTAAAAACCATTGGCATTTTAAGCAGTTGTACCCACTTCAATAACACTGCAATAACACCGTTTCATCATAGTACATAGTCTTAACTGAAATTTAAAAATATTTTATTGTTCAGTAAAATCTCTACAACTGGGTCAAAAGCCTTTCTGGATTCCCTACAACAATCAATTTCAGATTGCATGTTTTATATATTTTTACTAAGTTATAGCTATTATTATCCACAGGCCTTTGTCTACTACCAAGATTCGTCAGTGGTTGACGAATTAGGTATGCGATTCAGTCGAGCCGCAGTTCTAATTCGACCAAACTGGCTGCTCACCGCTTCTCTTGAACGCAACGATGCCCCAATGGCCTTCCCACAGAAAACACTGCTAGCCAGACTTGGTGCTGTCAATATAGACTCTAATTTCAATTTTAACGAAGACGAGGAGGAGCAGGAGCGTGAGGTATAAAATTCCTTTGATCTCCAAGAATTTTGTTGCGTGTAGATATATATCTGCGTAGTTTAAGTTATTGTACGGACTGTTATGATAATAATAATGATGTTTTGCAGGCCGATTTAAACCGCAACGATAATTGTTGAAATCTATTCAGTCTACAATCATATAATTAATAATTTGTCACGTAGTAATTATAATAATATAATCACTTGTGTGTGTAGTGTGTAGCCGTATAACCGTGTAGTCGCGGTGTAAGAATATCCACTCCACACATACACAAGAGGCGACAGAGAGACAATGAAACAGGAGACGGGCAGCAGCGTCTACCTGATAACAAGTCAAAATAATAAAAAACTACGTTTGCCAACCCACTTGCCAAGCGTGACAACTATGAAAACATACCCCTATGCGGCAATCTATGAGGAGGCCTATGTTCAGCAGTGGACTCTTATAGAATGTAATTAACGGTAATGGATGGAATCATTATGATTTAAATGTAAAAAATAATGTGATATCATCAAGAATAACAACATATTAACGATGTCAATTACGATATACATAATATGTTAAATTAATTGTCTGCATGTGATAAGCAATAGATACGTTTGTAGATCGTGTTTTTTTCTGTACAATTTGCTATTATTCAATGTAGAACAAAAAAATTATTATATTTATACCCTGAATAAAATTCAGTTTTAGTTCTTTGCTTGAAAAAGAATATTTCAGATTTTGGGCCAAAGAAATTTTATGTTTTTATAGAGAACCTAAAAAGAATAAAAATAACATTTTTTTTTAAAAGTCAAAATGTATTTATATATAAAAGAGGATGTCCTAAGTGACTGACTCATCATCTATCAACGCACAGCCCAAACCACTAGATGTAGAAATCTGAAATTTGGACAGTAGTTCCTTCAGTTTTTCTGTAGCATTTTATTATTTGGAACTATTGGCTTCAGACTTACTGAAAGTACTCTGCAAATAAAACATATTTTGAGATTTTAAAAAAACATCGGGGTAGGGCCGCGGCTTGGGGGCAGAGGCTGTTCGAATTTGTATGGAAAAAAACAATTAGGTAATGTATTTTTATGTTTGTCATACTTATGCAAATACTCTTGAATTAAAATAATAAAATATCTATTTTTACTTTTTCAAAAATCTACCCTTAAAGGTTTTAAAACGAGGAGGTCATGTTTGTAGCAAAAATATTGTATTAAGACGCACAACGCTAACCACTGGACTCAGGAACGTGAAATTAGGACAATAGGTTCCTTTTATCACATAGGCAACCACTAAGAAAGGATATTGTAAAAATGTTTTCATAAAAATCTAAATAATTAAATAAATTAAATTAAACACCGAGACGGGTTTCTAGTAATATTATAATTTTAGTTTATTATAAGAAAGTTCAATTTATTTGAACGAGGTTCGTTATGGAACTTCACATTTTACCACAGTATAAAATTTTACATACAATGTATACCAGCCTGATCATAATTTTTTTCTACGTTAGAATAGAAATAATAAATTATTGCACCCAGTTATGCAACAAGGAACATATTCAACCCATGGAAGGCTATTTTTGAAATGTTTAACTGTGTATTTCTTAAATGGCCTGCTACTTTTTTTTATATTTGTGCTACGATATTTATTATCAATTGCGACACTTACTGGAAATGTTTTTATTAAATAAAATGCTGTATAGTGGTAATTCTTAAACCCATCACGTGCCAATGGGGTCATATAAGCGACTACAGGAAGAGACAAAAACATTTTTGCTCCTGGCATTTAAGGGTATAATCTTTAAGGCAAACTAGGCACCTGCCTAGGGGCGTAACATTACAAAGAGGCGCGCGCGGAAGTTTTTAAGCAGAAAAAATGTACCTACTTACATAAATTAAAAAATCATACTTTCTACAGAGATGTAGAGCTTCCTACATCGCACTCACTTTCTCATCACATTTTTTCAGCCACGCCCACCTATTAAGGGTACGTGTCCTAATTATTTTGCAATGAAACTATCACAAACTATGATATAATGAGTTTATATGCAAAATAAGTAGATATAATTTATAATATATGCACGCCAGAAGGACGCCGATAAAGTGCTAGGTTAGGGCGCTATAGAAATTTAATTCGCCTCTGCAGGCAACGGACAGTAACGTCAAATGTATGAGACGTCTGTTGCTGAGATTGTCAATCCAACTGCTGAGTAAACAAACCATCCCTTGGGAGAGTTCTACCTCCCAACGGGAGAGGCCCATGTCCAGGAGTGGTCTTTTATGGGCAGATGAAGAAGAAGAATTTTACTGGCCCATTTATATATCGCACTGCATAACAATTTTTGTTTGTATTAAGGATTAAAATAATCGAAAAATTCTTTTTTTTTAAATCCTGGTTGTAGCACGAATGGGTTGGCTAGACCGGCGAGGACCACGCTCTCACAAAAGTCGTTGAAAGGTTAAAATAATGGAACAATCCGTTTTTTAATTATGGTTATAGTACATAGAGGTTGACTAGGACTTGAAAAGGCCCACGCTCTCAAAACACCAGCGTAGAATAGCAGCCTAATGTTGCTGTTTCGTATGGCGAGTGTAGAGAATCGGAGATCCTTTTTACTGGCAACGAGGCATTCCATGTTGGTCCTCAAAGAAGACAACGCATCTGCATTTTTATCCTGGATCGAGGATAAGATGTCTATAAACCGCAGCATCCACTTACCGTCATGTCAACTACTCCTTTGTTACCATTTAGAAAAATACTCACATTTTTTTAAATTCATATTTAACTGCTATATCAATTTACTAACTGCCAAAAAATAGTATAACTGCTAATACTACTCGTATATTTTTTTCAACTGAAAACTTCCCTAATGTTTAAGTAGGTAGCAGTAGTAAAAATTTATTCCCATTCATTATCCATTGTTGCTTTCATTGGATTCAGTGTTAATGACGTCTTGAATGTTTTTTTCTTATTGGAAATCCAAAAAAAGGCATATAGGTAAGTTCCTTACACGGTAAAATAGATGGAAGCATCATCAAAAATATTTGATAACCTAATATATAAAACGGAGCCCATATTTGCCTGGTCTATACCGTAAGCTTGTTCTCAAAACAATATAAAAGAAATTTAAAATCATGTGCTTTTTCTGATAACGTGGTAAGAGTTTTTAGTATTTTAAGATTTAAAATCAGTCCAGGATATAAATTTCAAAACCTTTCTTTTATATTTGCTATCTAATTTTTTTATCAATTTTTTTTATAGAATAAGGGTGACAAACGAGCACACAGTCCACCTGATAGTAAGTGGTTGCTGTGGCCCATTGACATCTACATCTATCTTCGTTTGCGAATTAAAATGCAGATGCGTTGTCAGCTGTGAGGACTAAGATGGAATTCCTCTTTTCCATTAAAAAGGGTCTCCGGTTCTCTACACTCACCATACAAAACACAGATATTTTACGCTGGTATTCTGTGAGAGCGTGGTTCTTCCCCGATCGATCCAACCCATCCGTGCTACAACTATACTATTAATATAGCTGCAACAAGACTCTACCACGTATAAATTACTACCTACTAATTAATAAAACTTACTAGCTAATAATTAAATAACTATTTTAAATGTATAGGTGATTCAAGTCGTTCAACCGCACAACTTCAGTGCGCAACAGTGGTGGTTTTATGACGTCACTCTACTAAAAACTCTTCTGCCGTTCAACATAACTTCTGTAGTAGCGCCGACAACGCCTCGTTTTATGGAAGATATTAAAGTGAAAACATGTAAGATATTAATTTATGCGGTAAGTATTTTTACTGAAATTGTATATCTCTATCTCTATTTATAAAAGTCAATTGCTGTCCGTTAGTCTCGCTAAAACTGAAAAACGGCTCGAACGATGTTGATGAAAATTTTGGACCCGGTAGGTGTTGTCAAGATACAGAAATCACCCGTGCGAAGCCGGGGCGGATTGCTAGTCTTCAATAAAGAGCACTTCTTTTTACGCTCAATATTTTGTTTGCCTGAATCATACTTTTAAGTATTTACGGCCATATTAAAACCATTGATTATCGCATAGATTAATAATAGGTCATCACGCGCTCTGACTAGATACCGCACTACTTGAAAATGACAGCTCCGTGAATGCGGAATCTCAATATTGTAGTGTGTATAAGAGAGTTGCAAGGATGCTAGTGTGCGTGAAAAATTGTATATGCCAGCAGCTTAACTATTACCCGATTAACGGGAATATTTATTTTAAGCCATACTTAGTAGTTAAGTTCATAGTTATGAATGTAGACCAGAAATACTTAAAAATGAATAATTTATTAATAGCGAATGTATCAATATATTTGTGTATATTATGTATAGGTTTTACTTCTGAATAAATGGCATATAAATGACATGGCCTCATTTTTATCAGTTTAATTTTTACATTTAAATGTCTGTCTAATATTCACAAATTATTTAAAAAAAAATAGTTATATGTTATATGGTGTAACCAAAATAGTGCTATTTCTATTCTACGCGTCAATATGAACAACTTTTACTATAGATCTATCTTCGAAATCTCAAGAAAAATCAGGTCTTCCATAAATTTTGAACAAGTTTGTACGAAACTCTGTATGGAATAACCGAGTTTGAGATTTTTTTTACAGGATCAGGGTGACAAACGAGCACACAGTCCATCTGATGGTAAGTGGTTGCTGTGGCTCATAGACATCTACATCTATCTTCGGTTAAGAATCAAATTATAGATGCGTTGTAACCCCTGAGGACTACGATGGAATGCCTAGTTTCCAGTAAAAAGGATCTCCGGTTCTCTTACACTCACAATATATATACGAAACAAAGCAGCGTTAAGCTGCTAGTTTACACTGGTATTCTGTGAGAGCGTGGTCCTTCCCCGGTCTAGCCGACCCATTCTGGCTCTACCACGTATAGATTGAAAATTTCGAAGATGATCCCATAATAAAGTTATTCATGTTTACGGGCAGAATCATTCCCTAAGTTATTGAGTACAATTTTGTTACACTTTTACTTAGTATATAAGGTCAGGGAAAAAGTTGGTTCGTATTTTACATACAAATTCAAGACATTTTTGTTTTAAAGTTTTATTACATTTAATTATAATATATATGGGTCTATTTTGTCTGTTTTTCATAACTTGTTGCGATCTTGTAGGTAGTGACATAATCGCGTTACTGTAGAAATGTTGGGATTTTTGATCAAAAAAATGCAACGAGTAGTTTTATTAGATATATTCAATACCAGAGATTTGAAGCAACATGGATTTAGTCATCGTATTTATAATGGAAATAAAAATATTATTTTTATTAAAAAAACAATATATTATAAACTTAAATACGAGTAGTAAAACCTCCAGAAAGCTTTCATTTAAAGAACACAAGAAACAAAAGAAAATAATGATTAAAAGTTATAAGTACTCAAGCAAATACGGGATTTTAGGAATGTTTGTGTGTATTGAAAGTCTCAAACAGACAACTAATCTTGTGGTATGGCGTTATCATGATGAAAGACCAATCCTTTTCTGATGATCAATGCCGGCCGTTTTTTTTTCTATTTCTTGCTTGTGTCTCATTAGTTGTTGTAGAGATCAGAATCGATGGTTTTACCAGGCGGTAAAAGCTCATGATAAACTATACGCTTCCAATCCCACCATACACAGCATCATCTTATTGCGTGTTAATCCAGGTTTCGCTACAGTCTGTAAACAAAACACATATCAATACAGAAAAAATCACGTTTCTTCTATGGCCTTTATATAAGAAACGTGTTTTAGGTATCCTTTAATATTTTATTTTATTTTATTTTTATTATATATCGTTATAGCCGCAATACAATTAGCCAATACATATTCTGTGAAAATTTCAAGTATAGATATTACGGTTTATAAAATACAGCCTGCTGACAGACAGATACAGACCCTAATAAACGGTGATAATGTTTTAATAATAAAAATAACAATTAATAAAACAACATATAAATATTAGGTCATTTGAGCAATACTACAAAAATAAACATTAAATAATATAGAATTAGGTTATATTATTTATAAGTTAAATATATTATATTATAAAATATAGCAACAATAAATTCACATATAAAAATCTCAGCCACGGGGAGCATTATTTTTTACACGCGGCAATACTGAATGACGTCATTCATATTTTGTAATTTTTTTATTTGTGGCTGGTGTTATTTTATGTTGAAATTTCGAAATTGTATGATACTTACTGATAGTATGTGATCCCAGTATCTTTCTTATTTCTTGTAGTATTATTTATACTACGCAAGCTGGCATTTTACTTCGGATTATGATCAAAATTTAATAAAACATTCGGTACGTCCACATCACATGTCGCCTGCAACGCGACTGGCTCGGGTACGCCGATTTCGGCGTAGTATTTGTTGCCGCATTTTACAAGAACGCCGGCGGTATCTAGTCTGAGCGCGCGAAGACCTATCAATAATCTAAGGATTATCGCTTACTAATATCATGTAGTAAATGTCTCTATACCTGTCAAACTTAACTTTTAAGCGTGTCTTAAATTATGTTGTTTTTACGAGTTTTATTTTGTCATTATAAAAAATAAAAATAAACATTTAAGAAGCTTCTTATTACATTTTTATATTAAAAATACTCTGATTTATCCTTTCATATCATAATAGGTAGTGGAAAAAGTATCTTCGTATTTTTATTCGTGAATCTAAAGAAGAAATTCGATATATTCTTAAGTTTTATTACAAAGAGAAGACGACTTTGCCGCGAAAAAAAATTTTAACGTTTATGGGCCTAATGCAGTGTCAGTAAGAGTAGTACAAAGTTGGTTCAAGCGTTTTCAATCAGAGAATTTTGATGTCAAAATGCAGCTCGCTCTGGTGTGGCCCTCATATGGACAAAGTCGATGCCATTTTTGATAAAGTAGAGCAAGATGGGCGGAAAAATTAACCACAAAACTGTTTTATTATTATATTTTTATTATTATATTTTTACCCATTTGAAAAAGTCTGGCTATAAAAAACTAAAAATATTTGGCTACCATACGAGCTCAATGAAAGAAACCTAATGAATCGTGTACTTATTTGCGACTCTCTATTGAATCGTAATAAAACCGAACCATTTTAGAAAAGATTGATCACTGGTGATGATCACCTACGACAAGAACGTGCGAGGGTAATCAAGCTCCACAGACTAGCGGAACCCAGATTACCACGCAATAAGGTGATGCTGTATGTATGGTGGGATTGGAAGTGCATCGTTTATTATGAGCTTTAACCGCCGGGCAAAATCATCGATTCGGATCTATACTGCCAACAACTAATGAGACTCAAGCAAGAAATTGAGAAAAAACTGCCAGTATTGATCAACAGAAAAGTGTATTTGGCAACTTAGCAAAAAGTGAGAGAACTTGGTTGGGAAGTGTTAAGCATCCACCATATAGTCCTGACCTTGCACCCTCAGATTTTCACCTGTTTCGGTCTCTTCAGTAATCTTTGAGTAGTAATATTCACATCAAGAGAGGACTGTCAAAACTACTTGTCGCATTTTTTTGATTAAAAATCCCAAGATTTCTATAGCAACGGGATTGTGTTACTACCTAAAGACCTTAACAAGTTATCAAAGAAAATGGCATATTTATTGTAATTAAATGTAAATTTAATTTGCAAAAAAAATGTCTTCAATTTGTATATAAAATATGAAAAAACATTTTCCCCGACCTTATAATTTTAATTTAATTTAATCTAAGCTTACTCGTAGTTCATTCCCAACAGCAATCACAGCAATCTTTGTTTTTTTTCTATTTATTATAATCTAGTGCTTGACCACAATTCCATCTGGTGGTACGTGGTAATGGAGCCCTAGACGGTAAATCGCATTGTCTTAGCGAGATAAAAGTCTATTCACTTTTACCTTGAAAACGCCGAGATTGTATTCGGACGGAAAGACAGACGCCCGCAAATTATTGCACACCTCTGCTTAACGCATTACAAACTACGAAGCAAACTGTTTGGTTCTAATGCCTGGAATATCGACAATAAAGGGGTGAAGACCCGCTGACTGTATGGTTCTCCGATTGTCGATAAGAAAGGGAGGAATTGAAGCATGTAATTCTTGCAAACACTCACCGAAATGCATCCTAAAGAATACCGAGAGGCTGGCTACTTTGCGCCTGTGCTCGAGACTGACAAGATTAGTTTCAACCAATGAGCCTCTTAGCACGTCTTTCTACTGAGTCCAATGCTGATAGGTGGAATTTTGCAGTCCCAGCCCATATATGACAGCAGTACTCCATGCACGGCTTGACTTCCACTTTATATAAGGTAAGAAGCTACCGCGGCGTGAAGTAACGCCGCATCCTTGCAAGGACACCTAATTTCCTTACGGCTGCTTTTACCCTAGACTCAATGAACCGCCCATAGTTGAGGTTCAGGGAAAATTCAACCCCTAATAACTGAAGGCGATCACTTCAAAGATGCAACCCGGAAAGTAGGAGCCAGGGTGAATGGGCTCTTTTTAAGCAGTGAAAAGATACGCTTGGGTTTTCTAGGCGTTGAATCTCAAGAGATCGGCATCGCCCCATTCAGAGACTGCCTGTAGTGAGTGATTCGCACGCTCAACCATAGCTTCTCTTTCAGACTGGACTTGATCTGATTTGATTGGACTGTTCTATGGATTATTCTGGTTCTGTGGACTATTCCCTCTCTCTCCCTCTCAAAAATGTGAGAAAGCCTGTGGTTTGGCAGAGGACATATCTAGACTATTTTTAACCTTACTTGTGACTTAAATCATCTTTTGATGTTATAAACTCAATATAAATTACACCACATAATAACTTACTGTCATCATCAAACTTTAATGCTCGTCACATAATTTCAGGATTTGCCTTAATCGACAGCAGTAGTTCGTTTCTGGGCTGAAAGTAAACTAATTTTATACAACAAAAAAAACACGACTATTAGATTTGACTTCTTTTATTCTTAGGACCCTGATCGACGTGCGAGGTATATAATGGAATCAAATTGCCGCGTTGTTAAAATCATTGGTGGGACTATTGCAAAACTGTGGTTTTGTGAGCCAACAAGTCATGCGCGTGGCTATTGGCATTTCGGCTTTGGCACATTGCTTTAACAAACACACAAGAATAACTGTTTAGCTCACTATAGTGTCACGAATGAGAAGCCGCGAGTGAAACCGCGTTGTTAAAAATTGTTTACAGCAAACTTTCGTCTCGCGCGTCAATCGTGGCCCTTACATTCACTTAAAGTCACATAAAATCTAGCACGTTAAATGTGATTAAAAATTTGAGAATTTTAGAGATTAAGTATCTCTAAACGCTTTAAGACAATTATTAGTGTGATAATCATTAAATTAGACAGTTAGCTTTTTTTAAGAAACAATTATTTTCAGAGGAGATTCGACAATGCAACAGAAGATAAAATCCTGATGCAGATATCGACTGAGTTACTCTTTCCGACGACAGATTGCGGCCTTCATTTTCAGTCAAATACAATGATTTGTGGTGCTGATAGTGACGACAACAAGAATTTTATTTACGAATCAGAATATTGCCAAGTGAGTAGTGTACTGTAATTTCTTAATTTGCTTTTACAAATATTACAATCACGCTAGAAACTTTTCTCGACTGTGGAGCCATATTTCGGACATTCTATCTAGTAAAATGTAACAAAACATCCAGGCTAGGGACAATTATTTGTAGGCCCAAATTGTTTAATATCTGTAAGAATATTTTTACTATAATTTTTAATATAATGCTAAAATTTCTATGTTTCAAAGGGTAATAGTGGTGGTCCCCTACTTTGTGAAGGGGGGGTAACAGGATTACAGACTTACATTAAGGAAAATTGTAAGCAGCCGCATCTCTTTCAATTATTGTCAGCTTGGGAAAAGTTTATTACTTGTGGCGTGGAAGAAAAATGTCAAGAAGAACAATGTAATACCACATGTGCGACAATCAATAAAGACACACCCATAAATGAGATAGTTTTACCAACCATCAACGAAACGAAAGTTATTTTAGTTTCGGAATCTGTTATAGAAGATACGTCCACATCTACGGCAACTTCTAGTACGCAAGCAACTGATAAAGTTTCTGACGGAACTGCTAAGACGCCACCAACTTTGACAACTGTAATAGAAGAACAAACAACAACGGAAAAAATTACAACAGTAACTGACAATTCTATCGCCAGCAAAATAGATGAAGAGGAAACAACTACATGGATTTCGATTAAAATTAAAGAAAAACCAAAAGATGTTGACCAAACCGAAGATGCAGAAAATATAGAAAGAAAACCAACCGTTGAAGCTCAACAACAAATGATTATTACAAAAGCGGAGAGTTTTGCTAACGAAGTGCACTCGTCGCAAATGTTGGTACTTTGTTTATTAGTTATACTCAACACAATTAGTCAGTGGATTGTCTAAGATTTTTGTAATGTATTTGCGATAAATTGTTTGCCTAAGAAATTAGTGTGTGATGTTAGAATTTAATGATTTCATAAGTCACAAATTTAATAGGGTACTATTAAATTTATAGTATAATTTAATAGGGTCTTATGAAATCACTAAATTCTGCAATTATTTTTTAAATATGGACATACTCGTGTTTGGAGTAATATTCTAAATGTGGCTAAATAAAAATGTTATCTATGTCAGCAAGTGTAAAATTATTTTTGAATATTTGATTATTGTTGAATAGTCGAGATAATAAATAAAGATGATGTAATATGTAAGTACTCGAACAAAAAAAACAAAAACCTGCAGTAAGCGTAACAAATTAATAGTATACGTGTATGCCTTGAAAAGGATCTGTCAATATTATCGACTATTAAATGTTAAATGTTTTGTCACACAGATACAGTATTTTTAGTTCAGCAATAAAGCCGATGTAGAGACAACGCAATGTTTAGGCCTGTACTGCTTTCCTTAACAAAGTAATGTTTTAGGTGTGGGAGAAACTATTTGATTATTTGCGTAACACCGTTGATATATTTTAGTTAACTGTTAACCGCTGAACATGTAATGGACTTGTACGGGCTGTAATGATGGAGATGATGATGATTATGGTGATGATGTAAAGGATTTTTCGCCCTTGAATCTGATCAACAAGCTACTGAATTTGTACCACCTTTGATAAATAAGTTATTATTTATTTAATTTACTTTAATTTTCACCAATTATAAGAGATTGAGCCGTAGTAGCTCAGGGGCTTAACGCTCGCTGTAAATTTCACAATCCGGCTTCAATCGCCGTCGGCACCAATGAAATAGTTAATTGCAATTTTGAGTGCTGACTTACCACGTGCTCGGCGGTGAAGGAAAACGTGAGGAAACCTATAAAAAATAAATTATTTCGAAGATGAAGTTCGCATGTGAAGTTCGCTAACAAGCATTGGAGCAGCGCGGCGGACATTTTCTTGCCCTAAAACCCTCTCAGAAAGTGAGAGGAGGCCTGTGCCTAACAGTGGAACGTATAAAGCTGTAATTTTAACTTATAAGAGCTTTGTTTATTCTATTTTTTTTTTATAGGACAAGGGTGACAAACGAGCACACAGTCCACCTGATGGGAAGTGGTTGCTGCGGCCCATAGACATCTACATCTATCCTCTGTTACAAATCAAAATGTAGATGCGTTGTCACCCGTGAGGACTAAGATGGAATGCCTCATTTCCAGTAAAAAGGCCTCCGGCCACCTGCACTCACCAAGCGAAACGCAGAGGTAAACCTCTACTTCACGCTGGTTTTCTGTGAGGTCATGGTACTACCCCGGTTCGAGCCGGCCCATCCGTGCGACAGCAAAAGCTGCCGCGTGGCTCTACCACTGTAAAATATGTCATATATGTCATAATAGACAAATCGCATTATTTAGTCCGATAGAACAAGAATAGCGATAACCTAAAACATAATACACGTTAAGTTTTTACGTTATTCTCTCTTCTCTTTTTCTCTCTACTTGTTCCGTGCGGGATTCGAACCCGCGGCCCCCAGCGTAGCAACACATTGCTAAGCCACTGCACCACGGAGCCGTCAAAACGTCACGTTTTTGAACGTAAAATAAATCTCTTAATTTACATGATTCGAATGTGGGTAGTAAATATATTTGAAAAACACCATTAAATAAATATAAAATAGACATTTAATATTTAAAAAGTATAACTACGGTAAAATTTACTTTTATTCAGTGTTATCTAATATAAAAAAAGTGTCAGTGCAAGTATGCATATGTACTGTTTATTAGTCATCTTAAATTTTTACTAAACCATTCAGGCATGAAAAGCTGTCGGGTTGTAAAAGATGTGGCGCAGCGGGAACGTGGTGGCTCTCCGTCAAAGTTTCCCGAATAAGTAGAATTAAGTAAGGTTTGCAAGCTTAACGCCTCGGCAGTTTGCTCTAATAGCATTAACAAGTTTCCAGACCTTATTGGGGGAATACTTGGACGTGTAATATTCTTAATTTACCTTAAAAATATTGTATCGATAGATTGTAATATTATATAATTTTCATAGTTACTGTTTTCTAAAGGCATAAAACTAAGCTAATGAACATTTGCTAAAAAGTTTTGCCACACTCTAAGTAGATACCCTCACACTGGTAGTCATGCTGCTCCTCGTCACCAAAATCAGTGAGATTTACTTTACCAGATCCACATCTGTCAGTCGTCAGGGTGCATTTGACATTAGGAGAAAATGTTTATTTTTTAAATTTGTTAATTATTTTTAAAGATAATAGTAATTAAAACTTTCTTGACGTAACATCCTATATCGCACTAAAAATAATAAATCAAGCCGGTTTAAGTATTATTTTTATTTTATTGTTTAAAACCAAAATTCAAATGAACAACGCCAAGTTTTAGATGGTATTAACATTTTGAGAAGGCACGGCTGCTTAACTTGCAAATCTCACTCATTTGTTATAACGACTTTCGTTTTAATAACTTTGTTAAATAATCTTGAATCTGCTTAGTACTATTTAATTATGCGATATTTGTATTAACGTTTCGACAGTTTTCCAGTAAAATATTCTACGTTAAAATAAATTATAGTATAAAACAAACTATAGAAACACTAGAGATAAAACTGTTTTATCCTGGTGATCGTGATCAGGACAATAGAGTAACGTTTTTAAATTATTGTATTGTCACTGGTCCTTGATAAGAGTGCAAATATTTTAAGTCAAATGGCCGTCTACAAATTGGTGAAAATTACATTAAAAGATTCCGCTACATAACTGTAATGTAATGTAATAGATAGATAGAAGATAACACGCGAAGCTAATAAAAATGTGTTAGTATCATCACCATCATTATAGTCTATCAACGTCACTACCGAAGATAGGCCTTCCTCATTTTTTTTATAGGAGAGGGGGCAAACGAGCATGCGGCTCACCTGGTATGGTAAGTGACTACCGCCGCCCATGAACAACTGCAACACCAGGGGAATCGCAGATGCGTTGCCGGCCTTTTAAAAAGGAGTACGCTCTTTTCTTGAAGGTCCCTAAGTCGTATCGGTCCGAAAAAATCGCTGATGGTAATCGATTCCACAAGGAGGTCGTGCGAGGAAGAAAACATCTTCTAAATCGCACAGTGGTGGACCGCCAATCATCCAGATGGTGTGGATGGTATCGGCAGTTCTGCCGCGATGTGCGTTCGTGAAATTTGGCGGCTGGGATTAATCCGAACAATTCCTCAGAGCACTCCCCATGGTAGATGCGAAAGAAAATGCAAAGGGATGCAACATCTCTTCGCAGTGCCAATGAATCGAGCCGATCGGAAAGGACTCGGTCGTCGACGATTCGAGCCGCTCTGCGTTAGATGCGGTCAAGTGGAAGGAGCTGGCACTGGGGAGCCCCTGCCCAGAGATGGGAACAGTATTCCATGTGAGGCCGAACTTGCGCCTTGTAAAGTTGCAGGCGGTGTGCCGGCATGAAATGTCCTCATAGATTGCCATAAAGGAAGATATTTGCCACAATTGTTACACTTAGTAGGCGGGTTGGCATCCGTAGCTTTTTATAAAGAAGAAACCTGCATGTCTGAGAAATAAAAAAAATCTTCGAAGACATGTGAAGTTCACCAATACGCATTGGAGCAGCACGGCAGACACTTCCTTGCCCTAAAACCCTCTCAGAAAGTAAGAGGAGGCCTGTGCCTAGCAGTGGGGCGTATGTAAGCTGTAAATTTACAGGGAGAATCAGTAAGATGCTACTGCCCATGTGGTCCGGAGACTCAATTTCATTTCCCTCTGCTCTCTTTCGACGCCTACGGGACATGATGTAATAGATTTTTCTTATGCCTCCACTAAACCATGCAACGAACAAAAGAAAAGCGAAGTAGTATTATAATCCAATTTTTACAAAGATAGGTACTAGGTGGTATGTATATTTGTAAAGATTGGCTATAGTGTTTTAAAGTGAATTTTCTTTTCTTACTTCCGAAGTGCAGTGGAATTGAAATGTATCTTAATACGACTCGATGTGTTTAAATTCCGAAAGGGGATCGCATTGGAAAACTGTTATGCATATTTTAAAGTTAAATTTACTTACAGCAGACTCACTGCACCGAATGAGAATTGAACGTGAATATCTCTGTGAACTTTAAAATGTTTTATGATATTCAACAGACGTGAAAATGTTGAGCGTTAAAACATATTTAAATTCTGATCAAAATTAGGTTCTTCTAGATTATGTCTAACAACAAAATAAACACTAACGCCTGCAAAAATTATAGTAGCAATCATTTTTCGCATCTACTTTGCGTAATAAATTATAGAATCGAAGTACCTGCCTACTTTCTGAATGTAAGTAATTAACACATAATGCTGTGAGTTGGAAAACAAAAGAAATTAATTCGACAACCCCATAAAAAGAAATAAGCAGTTCATAAAAGTTTTAATAATTAAAACTCAAATAAAACTGGTAGCCCAAGGGGCAAATGACAATTTCGTAAGAGATTCCTCGCTCCCCTCCCAAGTAGAAATTTATGCCGTGATCGCCTATTGGGACGTTTTTCTGCAGCTCTTCTTATACTGGTTTTTGTTCAGAAGTCATTTTCATGTTTAAATCCCTTGCTGAGGGCAAAGAATAGACTACTGCCATTACTTCATTTGTCTGAGCATAAAAGAGTGTAAACAAGGAATAACTCGTAAAAATAATTGTCTAAATATTATTAGAAGTATAAAAGTTATGTACATTATCATTTATTCGTTCTTATTTTAAGGTTCCGTAATTAAACAAGTAACCCTTATAACTATATATTCTAAATTTCGCCACGTTCGTCCGTTCTTCCGTCCGCAGTTTTACTCAAAGACCGTAGGTGCTATACATCTGTAATTTAGCATAGTTATGGATATTAATCACGCCTACAAAACTGTGAAATATAATATAAAACCTTGAAAAACATTTTTAATTGTTTTAAGTGTGTACCTCCCATAC